AATAGAATACATTTGAGAGTATATGTTCATTATTTTGTAACATCTTTTTTACATTAATTAGCATACAAATTATACTAATTATGAATTAAATTAAAGAAAAAAAGAAAAAAAAAAAGGTTAAACATAATATTGATAATACTTAGCCTGTTTCGGTGTTTTATTTTATTTAGGAAGGACTTGTTAGAATTCGACAAAGTTTATTCCATATCTATTGTTGTTAGAAACTTTTTTTACATTCTTAGAGTTTCTTTTATAGCTTATGGAAAAGTATTTTTGACACGGAAAGTTGGAGGACGTGATCATGGAGCAATCTATGCGATGAAGGTGTTGCGTAAAAGTCGTGTTATCACAAAAGCAAAAACACTGCAGCACACATTATCCGAACGTCATGTACTGGAACGCCTCAAAGGGTTGCCATTCTTGGTTGAAATGATTTATGCATTCCAGTCCGATTCCAAACTGCACATTGTTATGGGTAGTATTTAAAGTTTCTCACAAGTATGTAGTCTAAATCCTTGAGAGCATTATGCAGGATAAAGAAATATTGGCAATTATTAGTTTCTTTATATTGCAGAGTTCATCAAAGGTGGCGAATTATTTACGCATTTATGCAATAAAGGATCATTTGATATACAGTCAGCGAAGTTCTACATAGCAGAATTGGTGGTTGCCATTGATAGCGTTCACAAGGTGAATATGGTTTTTTATTACTTCTGGTACCTATCAGAAAATATTTACGATTTGCAATTTTTAATGGAGTTTTCAAGTTTCTAGTTCGTATTCCTTAATCTCCCATAATTTTTTAACAGATAATATCAGAATTACGGTGAGATTCGAGCTCAGAATAAATGAATGTTATAATGAATTAGCTTTGTTTTCAGCGAAAAGTTGTGTATCGAGACTTGAAACTGGAAAATGTTCTCTTGGATGAAAATGGACATATCAAATTAACAGATTTTGGGCTAAGCAAGGAACTGAAAGACAATGAGGTAAACAGACATAAAAATGAAATTTTGAAGTTTTTTTCTGGTAACTGTCTTGGAAATTTTTCCACTGATGTCTTCCATTGATTCTGTGTGAATGCAAAGAAATTCCTAGTAATCAGAATGTGATGGAATCAGTCGACTTAACATTAATTATTTCTTATCGAATGGTAGTCGATTTTGATGAACGCGTTTAATGTTACTTAAATATTGTTGAAATTTGGTTTAGTTACACAGGGCAAATTCGTACTGTGGCACCATAGAATACATGGCACCGGAAGTAGTGGAACGGACGGCAGAAGGGTATGATGAAACAGTAGATTGGTGGAGCCTAGGTGTTATTGCATTTGAATTATTGACAGGATGTTCACCCTTCACAGTTGATGGGCATTCAAATACAAGCAGAGATATTGCAAGGTAAGATTTTCTTAATTGACAGCTCTGGAAGTGTAGTTGCACGTAAAGTTTGCTCCCGAAAAATAATGCAAATACTGTCGAGTTACGAATAACTGTATCATTCCTTTCCAGACGAATCCTCACGAAACCTGTCCCATTTCCAAGAAATTTTAATAAATTCGCTTTGGATTTCATTAATCGTTTGTTGGAAAAATCAGCTTGGCGACGTTTGGGCAGAAATGGTGTTGATGAAATCAAGAATCATCTTTTCCTTGCCGACATTGACTGGCATCAGTGTGAAAAGCATGAGCTGGAACCACCAATTATACCGAAAATTTCAAACGACGTGAGCTTCTCTTTCTGGATTTCACGGTATGTGGTATTATGGTCGAGTAATTAGCATCCTGGCTTTAGCTTCTCGATTTCATAAAGGGAGAACTTTTTATTACTATACACCAACTGTCTTAGGTTGCATAATATTTTCCCGGAAAATTTGATACATTTATGAATTGGAATTGCAGATGGATGTAACGAATTTTGCTCCTGAGTTCACAAATCAGATGCCAGTCTATTCACCAGCTGATACTCCATTTGATACGCGCAATCTTTTCCGGGTTTTTTTTTCTAATGTAGAAATATATTTCTGATATAGAATATGTAGATATATACAGAAATTCTAATATATAAAAGATTTCTTTCTGATGTAGAAAATTATGGATTTCTAAATAAAATTTCTGATTTTCTGATAAATGGATGCAAATTCCGCAATATGGGATAAATTATCGTATAAATAGATTACGAAATGGTCACAGTTAAATTTTCACTCTTCAACTGTCTCGTATGGTGTAGTGTTTCAGGGCTACTCGTTTGTGTCGCCATCGGTAATGTTCGCTAATAATAACGTAATTGGTGAGGAATGTCTGGCGGAGGATTTCAGGACCCTGGTTTCGGTTTCCCCTTTCTTCTCTAAGTATAAGTTGGATCGCTCAGAAAGCGGTCTTCTTGGAAAAGGGTCATTTTCGATTTGCAGGTAAAAACTGGAATTTATTTTTAGGAAGAACATGCTAAAATTTACACTTATTCACTAACATTAGGTTCCAGAAAATTTGCGCTACTTTTGCAGGTAACAGTAAGCGTTCTTCGTGTACAGCGTGCTTTGCATGACAGGAATATTTTGAAAAAAAAAGGAAAAGTGATAAAAGTAAATTTTTATTCAGGAAATGCGAAAGGTTATCGGATGGAGTTTCATTTGCTGTGAAAATAGTTTCTCAGCGCTTTCAAGCTCAGGCAAGTCGAGAAGCTAGCATCCTGAATTTAGTTAGTGGACATCCGAACATTGTTCGCCTCATTGATGTTCAGTCGGACAGTCTACACATTTATTTGATAATGGAATTACTTGAGGGTATGGTTACAGTTTTTTGTGTAATATTTACCAAACTGTTTTGCAAATCTTGCATTTTTCAAACAAAAACTGTTTGGTACAAATTTTGTCTGAAGATACTGCCCAATATCTGCATCAAGATGGTCACTTTGTTTATTTTAAAATTTCCTATTCGTATGCTAGCTACAACAATATGATATCCTAAGCCGAAACGAATAAAATATCCCTTTCATACTTCATATTTCTCCTGGAGAAATGTAAGATTCAAGAAGATGTTCTAGTAGGTGGTGACTCTACTGGAAGGTCGAATCAGATCTTATCCTAGCTAGAAATTCATGTGTAACTGGATTTAAAATTCATGCATACTTGTAAGTTATAACAAAGATCTAAAAAATTTTAGATTTTTCTTACAGTTTAAAGCTGAATTGAAAGTTAACATTTGTATAGCAGTTGTGCAGCTCCTCATGATACAACATTCCTTCTTCGGGAATGATTTCCTTTCTTATATTTCCTTTTTATAGGTGGAGAGTTGCTCACTAGAATTAAGAAGATGGAAACATTTACAGAGGCTCAGGCTGGTAGGATAATGAAACAGCTCGTATCGGCGGTCGCATATCTTCATTTCAGAAACATCGTGCATCGTGATTTGAAGCCGGAGGTATCAACTTTGGTAATGGAAAATGTAACTTTCTGCATTGCAAATGGGTCAATTAGCATTTTTCTTATAGTTCAAATTTGAATGCATTCTCAATGATTTTGTCATTAGTTAAAATGAAATTTTGCTGAATAAAAGAGATTCAGAATTTCTCCCCATTTTTGTTTGATTTTCGCATAGTTTGGTTTATTGGAATGCTTATGCTTAGCACTCTCCGGCTATACATAACTTTGTGGAATTTCAATAATTTTGTGACTATAGTTCTTTTCAGAATATTCTTTTTGAAAGCAGTGAACCGCAGGCAAAACTGCGTCTGATCGATTTTGGGTTTGCCCGTCTTCTGCCATCAGGAACAGAAAATTTGATGACTCCTTGTTTCACCTTGCACTATGCAGCACCAGAAGTCCTGGAGAGCGATGACCAGTTACCACAGTATAATGAACAATGTGATCTTTGGAGTCTTGGAGTTATTTTGGTAAGATAATATGAATTGTTCAGCTGTTGTTTGTCAAGTGCTAAAAATTTTTAGTTCATTAAGTGTCATAATGGATAACCATTATCTAATGTATAATGGAGAACAACCTTGTTTTAGATACCAAGATATCATTTTGTTTTTCTGTATATCTTTCATAATATGAAAATATTTATATTGATACATGCGATATTGGAGAAATTTTTTTCTTCATCTAAGTGGTCACTAACCTGAAAATAATTCATTGGCCAAATTGGTATTTGTATAAGGTAGTCCCAAGAAAGCAAGTTTTTTTTGCAGTATTCTATGGATTTACTATAAAATTTCGTTGGAAGTACGGTAGAATATCATTCTGTCCCACATGACGGTATATTTAAATATATTTGAAGTTATAAAAACTTAGTTCACGATGCTGAGTGGCAATGTACCTTTCCATGCACGTAGCAAATACGAATCAGCGACCGATATTATGAGGCGGATTCGGAATGCTGAATTCTCGTTTGATGCATCCCAATGGCGAGATATCAGTACAGAAGCAAAGACTTTAATTGCTTGTTAGTTTCGATAATTTTCATATAGTAACAAACATGGGGCTAATGTGCTTAATTTCTGTTTGCAAATCTTACGTACAGATTAACGATGCGCAATAAAATTACTCTAGGATTTACTCTTTGGGGAGAAGTGTGCAATTAAAAGTTAGTTTTTTTTTTTCCTGGTAAGCACCGATTACTGCTGTTCTGATCCTCAGAATTATTTCTTCAAGTGTTGTTAACTGTTGATCCAACGAAGCGTTTATCTTTGGACGAACTACAGTGCCATCCATGGTTGTTAAGTGCTGCTGCGCAAAATGAAACACCGCTTCAGACACCGACAACACTGTTAAAGTCTCAATTACATACCGGTTCGTTCATGACTTTTTTTTTCACGAATGGCGTCAAATGTGGTCGAAAAGAAAGTGGCGAGCGTATAAAAACCTTTTTCTAAATATCGGTCACAATGAAGTGCGATTTGTGAAATATGAATTTTTCAGAGGAAACATTTAATGAAACTATGAATGCATTTCTGAATGCTAACCGTGAAGGATTTCACTTAATGGAAGTTGCTGCAGCTCCACTGCTTGTGAAAAGACGTGGCATGAAGCGAAAGAGCTTCCGTTCACGTGAGCCTTCTCCCGAATTTGAATCGACAACAAATAAAAAAGCTACGGTCATTGGCCCGCTTGAAACAGTACCAGAAGTCGCATCACCCCAACTTTCACGTCCGTCACTACTGTTCATGCAGTCATCATCCATGGATTACAGGAACTCGAAGTCCCCCATACTTCGAGATACTGGAGACTTGACATAGTTTCTCGATCTAGAATTTAAATCAATTAGAAATTATCTATACATAATGCAGCTGGTGCATTACTTATCAAAATAGCATGTTTAGCATTCATTAATAATTCCTTGGGAAAATGATATGAAAGTCATGAATTGTATTATTTATTGGAAAGTAGATGAAAATGACAGCTTGCAACGTGGGTCTTAAATTTTGAAGTTCAAATAGTGGACTTCATTTGGAACTGCATTTATTCTTTAACATGTAATGGAATTTCGTAATTTGTTTCCTCTTGTTTTCCTTTATATCGATACATCGATAAATATTTTGGACTGCTTACACTTTACTGTTGTTTCTTTTCTTGTCAAAAATCGTTAATATGTTGTATTATATATCAAGTTCTTTTTTTTTTGAAATATCTGATTGATTTGACATTTGTTATATGGTCCTGAGGAAATTGTATATGCCTACTACTTAAAACAGATTTACGTTTTAAAAAACTCAAAATCAATCAGATATTTAGAAAAAAACTCTCTGGTAATTTTATTCCAGTGGATAGAATCTTTATCCTTCTAATGTACTTATATTTTTCAATTGTGGCCAGTGTGATAGTTACGGTCCTAGAATTTCTGTGATTACGTGGCTATATTCTTTTATTTTTTTCGCAGTTTTGTTGTTTGTTCTCTTTCTCCTGTTCTTTCTCTTTTCATTATTAGTCCACTTATTTATAAGTACATATCTCATCTGTTTTATTCCAACTTTGCCATCAACTTCGCAATTCATAGAAAAAAGATGGTAAGGTAAGCTTCCCATCAAACGTTGATTTTTTGATTTCTTTTACAGATCCACACAGTTGCAAAATGTTCATCTTCGATGTTTTGCATGAGCTATTACAATTCTTGGGTCTTGGAATTTTATACGAACCTTCAAGTTCTACGAATCATTGTTATTTTTCTTCGGATTAAGGGTATGGAGGAAATAAGCAAAAGAAAAATGTCTTTATTTTCCTTTTTCAGGATTGTTTTCCTTTTTTTCCCGATTATTCCCATCTTGATTCTTCATCTGAATGCTTTCTTAAAGTTTCTTAAATGTGGAGTATTATTCGAGTAAGTGACTGGTAAACATAAATTATTCCAGTCCCAATAATTTTTTTTAAAAAACGAAACAAATTCCGTTTTTTCTCGGCACTTGTGATCACAATTATACTCTTTTGTCATATGCGGACTTGTGTTGGTAAGGAAAGAATGTGTGTACTATGTCGAACAAAGTCGTGCTTTAACTATACTCATTTTTCTGTGGAATGTGAATATGTGAGGAGTTTTATAAAAAATTGTGAAAAGAAAGTATTGTTCTTATATCTTCTTTCGAGAGTAATATGCCTTGTTGATATACATTCTATCGCTAAGTATTCATTAAAATGTAATTACATCCATCACATTCATTTAAGGGAGAAATTCTTGGAAGTTTCAATTAATATTTATTTAAAGTCATGTTTTCAAACAGTAAATAAATGTGTTTTGTTAGATGACTGAGACACGGTATTAAAAACCGAAAGTACCGAAAGTAACGACAGGAAAAAAATGAATTACAATGAGGATGATATGATTGTAAGAACATATAAAAATGGAGCAACTGGGATATTTCTACATTTTGGCCATTTTAGAGCAGTTGAATTAGTTATAGGGGAAAGTATTTGGAAGTGGTGACGTTTACTTTAAAGCTAAGAGGGGAATTACGGCTGGAAATGGGAATAGAGTAATGTACTTGTTGTAAATATGCCCAAGCTTCTCATCCTCTTACATAGCATTTCAAAATGGAAGCACCTTTCTCTTTTATTTTAATCCGATATTTATTGATTTTAAAGTTGGACAAAAGTATCATTCCATGTTTTTTTTTTACAAAGGATGTTTAAATAAGACAGCACATCACTATGTTTGTGTCACATCACTTTAACATTACTATGTTGTGCAGGCACATTCTCTCAATTATGTTTCTTGATGGGTCAGTAACATGCATTTCTAAAGTTCTCCAAGAAAAATGAATCGTTAATCCTCATCTTCCATACGCTTTTTGCTTTTAGGATATTTGTGATATAAAAGTTGGCTTACAATTTGACAATAATATTTGATCACTTCAGATCACCCTTTTCCAGGGAACTCTCATTAATCGATTTATTGGTGATCCAACAGCATTATAATAGCAACCATCAATCTTTTCGACAAATATCCCTCCACAGGCTTGAATACCATAAGAACCGGCCCGACCACTGGAAAACATCAGGATTTAAAGATTTCTACAGCAAGGACCTTTTACTGTTGCATATGTGGGACGGTTTTTGTATAAGTAGAAATAAAGGAAGAGGAAAAGAAATGAATCAGAAAGAGAATAATGCGTGGAATTTTGTTTAGCGTAAAATGTGCTTACAATGTTCGCCAGAAGCAACATATCCTTCGATAACAGTTTCTGGATTTGACAGAATTTGACAGTTGTTCGCTCCGCGAATTATTCACACTTCTGACTGTTGTCTACGATTGTAACACCAGTATAAACTTCATGCACATTCCCGTTTAGTTTGGAGAAGATAGAATATTGCGAGGGACCGAATCTATCATGACAGCGGGAAACTTCTAATGATGACTCATATAGTATTGAGAGTGGAATTTATTTTTCATAATTAATTAATCCGAAGGCCTTCTTGTCAAATTTAATCAGAAATTATTCGTTCACTGCGGGAAATATAGAGTGCACAGAAATAGCTAAGTAAATAAATGAATGAATAGAAGAAATGATGACAAATTCTTTAAATAATTATGGTGAGAAAGGCATGAACAGAAACGATACTTGACATTGCATTAGTAGAACATTTTTATCCTAATTCGGGTAAATTTAGAATAAATACATTTCAGGAATACCTCTGAAGGGTGGCTCGGGCATCCTGTTCATCAACCGGCTTGCCGATAATATCGTTGTCAAACAGGACTACCGTGACACAACCAATAATCACATCGTAATCTTTGGTATCCTAAAAATCGGTATATGAAATTCAACTAAGCGAGAGTTAAGCCATGAGAATCCGGATAGACAACAGTAACTTCTCAATTTTTACTTCAGCCTTAACATACGTTGACTTATCTTTACCAAATTTATTGTCAGTTTCGTTACAATAACAGAAATGGACCAACTAATAATTGAGCAAGTTTTGTAATTCTCTTTTTGTTTCATATTGAAGTCAAATTTCTGGAACAGCGAGAGGGAAAACTTTCCTATCTTTATTAAAGTTTCTAAAACGTGTGATTTTAGGAAAATAATAGAAAATCCAGTTAAAATTTCGAAAGTATTATATGTCGAGATAGCTGACAAAAGATGCAACCATAAGTTTTGCAATCGTCGCTGCCTTGATATGTGCTATCTCACGTACGAATTCATCAATGACTAGGTCTTTGTTCAGGTTTTCATCGTAATTCGATATTCGCACTGTAGGTTGCATCCCCTAAATTAAATTGATTTAGCTTAAAAAAAATAGAACATTTTTTAAACTATTTAAAAGTATTGCTTTAAAAGCCTGCTAAATTGTCGACTTAAAATTTCCTTTTTTCAATTTTAGGGAGCTTCAAACCATACGATTTGTTCAAGCAGTGTCAAACGTTCCTTGGAACCACTAGCAAGACCAACTCGAAGCGAAGCAATGGACGGTGGCACCAGTGCCATTGATCTGGCTTTACGTCGAATCCTTCTACTGTCCAAAATGTTTACCAACTCGTGGGGCAAGCCTGAAATATTAGGACGGTTTGTCCCTGTGCTGTGAATAAATTTGCGCGAAATAGGTCACATGAGCGAACAGGCTAGAATTGAAGCTTACCTACTAAACTAATTTTATTTTGAAGAGCTACGAGACTCCATCACTCTTATTTTCATATTCTTTAGTTATTACTTCTTAACGCTAAATAAAGTAAATTACCTACAATTGAATTAAGAGTAGTTTAAACTGAACGATTTGACGCTAATAAGAGTGGTTCTCCTTCAGATTTAATAGAGTTTTCACTGACGCATGGTCACGTTTCCCTTCAAATAATTTTTTATATGAATTATCGTTGCACTCAAATTTCAATAAATAATGATTACTCAAGGATGTTTCAGTCTACGACTCTAAAAGTTGAAGTTCGATTCTAGGTGAAGTTTTTTCTTTTATTGATTGGATTATACTGCAATTTCAGATCTCTTAAATTTCGTAGAGATGTGATGTCGAAAGCCTATATCATGGAAATTGTAGAGCGTTCAAATCCAACCATGGTTATTACCAAAGAAGTATCTTTTTAATTCCTGAGATCTTAATTTTAAATTGCAATCTCATTTAATCCCGTACCTCTCAATGCATATTTGAACTATAACAGTTTAAAGCCCTAGCATAATTCTCCATTTCGATATAATATTAGTATATTGTTTCTAAAGCATGGTTTTCCATTTTGATATTAGTATATTGTTTCGAAATGTAAAATCATGCTAAGTGTGTTCTGGGAAGTCTGTTTTAAATCTAGCATGAGGGTTAGGAGCGGATATAACAGCGAATACTACGTAACATGCGGCTCGAGAAACTTAGAATTTAATTTGAATAGGAAGCTATGAGAAACGGTAATCACTATGCGGAAGGTTACTTCCATAGTCCGTTAGCATTTATTTTTCCTGATTTGTTGCCTGGTAATGTTGGGCAAGCTACATGGCGTGGAAAATTCTCGAAAGTAAAACATGCTTTGGTAATTCATCTTGCTGGTACTGGAGATCACACTTATTTCAGGTTTGACTTAACTCTTGATTTTTTTAAAATTACATGAGATGATTTGAAGATTGACAGCAGCAAACGGGAAGTAGAGCATATCTGAAATGATAGGACAGTGGAATTCGAATGAATCTTCCGCAAATTTATGAATAACATCTAATAAGAATTTCAGTCATTTCACGCCCCATCAATTTCATTTAGACGTGAATTCGGCTTCGCGAATGACTTGATGAAAAATAACATAAGCTCAATTTTGCTACAGAACCCATTCTACGGATCCAGAAAACCACGGGATCAATTCAGGTATTTATCAAAGGATTTTCATAGATACTGCGGGGATCGAAACTTTATACATTGTTTTTAAAGAGATAGGAAAGCTGGACTTGTGATTTTTTAATTGCTTTACCGACTTATGATAGATTATGGTTTCTAGCATACTTTTATGACATACATAAATGACAGTATAAACTTAACTTATGGCATTCCAGATCAAGTCTTATTAACGTTTCCGACCTATTTATTATGGGTGGTGCGTTGGTCGCAGAATGTAATTTTTTATTGAAATGGGCAAGAGAGCAAGGCTACTGGCCTGTAGGTTTGGCTGGTGTATCAATGGGTGGTCATATGGCTTGTCTGGCATGTACAAACTCCCCAGAACCTATTGCACTGGTACCTTGTCTTTCATGGACTACAGCTTCAACTGTTTTTGTTCAGGTGATACCTTTCGTGTTTCTCGAATCATTCTTGTTTCAGATTCAGAAATCCCCAATTTCTAAAACACTACCCTTTGAAAATTATTGGGTTTCCTAGGGAACGTTGTCGAAATCAGTTTCCTGGGATGTGCTAACAATGGAACTATTGTCCAAACAGTTTCAAAACGGAATTCGACAAATACCAGAATGTGATTGGCTTGACAGATGCTATGAAATGGGGAAGAAACTGGATGATGACTCACCTTTCAATATTGCGAAATGTGTACGTTTCTTTATTTCCTTCTGTTTATGTTAAATTTATTTCGGGGAGGGTGCACAACCTTTTATATTTCTAGAACTGTTATGTTGCCGACAACTATGTTCTTCCCCACTATCAGTTTAAACCTCAAGATTCTTCCCAACTACAGTTTATGTATGTGTTGATGGAAGAATTCACCAATCTGCGCAATTATCCTGCTCCAAAGGACACCAGACTTGTAAAGAATATCATTGCTGAAAATGATGGCTATGTTATCCGAGCTGGAGTGCCTACAATGCAACAAGTTTGGCCTGGGACAACTGTGGAGGTAAGTGGAAAACTCCATCGATTCCTATTTCATTTGGAGCTTGGATTTTGCTTTTTTTCCTCGAAATTACGGTCAGTAACATCACTTTTATCTAATACTCATTCGAGCCTACTTTGGCCTTTTCGGAATTTCTCCGAACTGGAACTAATTTGATAATGACAGTAGTCACTTTTTCTCCTACAAAATTATTTGATTTGCAGGTAATCAAAGGAATGGGCCACGTAGAGGCATATCTAGCTAGTCACACATTGTTCAGAAGCTGTATCAGAGAAATGCTACGAAAAAATCAGGAACTTTATAGCTGAACTATGACAGGGTTGAAAAAATTTTCTTGAGCCTCCTATTGATAGTACACTCCCATAGGCTACATTCAATTTGTACGTGAGTCATGTATTTAGGTAATGTCATCGAAACCTCTTCACTGATTTTTGCATTTGAATTTTTTGTATGTCTTTTTACTGTTTTCACTAAGGAAAGTTATAATATAGTGCCAAAATATATTTCAACTATGTGAAATAGAATGTTCTTTGACAAGCTAATACAACTGGTCTCCTTCCGAATGCAGCTCGCGGTTTAAATGCTCAATTATTGCTTTTAATTTACGTGTGGGTTCAGCTAAATACATGCCACTGTTTAACAGCAGCAATTAAAAACTACTTGGTACCGTAAAGGTAAATTGCTATTAACATATTAATAAAATAATGGTTAATATTTGTATAAAACACAAAATTATGAAAAGTCCATGTCTAAAAAAATAGATCAAGTCTATTATCTCTAAATTAGTATTTACTGTCCTTCATTCTTTGTTACCAGTTGTAAGGTTAAACAAATGATGCGGATAAACGATTCAATCAGCTGGTTACTGTAATATGAATATCGACCAACACACTACCCAAAATGAAATACGTCACGCATTTTCGCTCTCTTCATTTCTTGAACATTTTAAAATTCAATAAAAAGAACTTTGTTTGGGCCTTCCCCCTCGATGTGTAAATCGCAAACAGTAAATCAAATTAATGTCTCTTTTGAACGATACGTCACAAAATTTAACAGTATCAAATTAGCAATAAGTATATATCTTACTTAAAATACTAACGCAACTACCCTCATCATTAATTATAAAAAAAATGGGGTTCTTAAAAGGTAGACCAGGAAAGCAAATGAAAATGTGAGGGAAGACAGAACACTTGTGCATTCGGATTGCGTATGAGGTGTGAGTAGAAACATCGACGACCAAAAAGAACCTATTATTCAAACTTAGCAATTATGAAAGCAGAATTATGTATACATACATCTAGGAAGACTTAAAAAGCGAAACCTAGGACACTTCTTTTGTCTTACTTATCATCTAATAAATGTTGTCACAGACTTTGGATCCGTGTTAATATTCTCACTAGCCAAACTTTGACTAAAAATTGTAATATAAATATGAAAAAGTTTCGATCGAATACGAGAAATAGTCTAAAAAGGACTAAAGAAGTTCAGAAAGTGAATCAAAAACCAGCCTTGCATATGCGCAAATGCTACAATGATTCACTAAACTGATGATCCACAACGTTTGGAAGCAGAAAGAACTGGTTACAGCAAGTTATGAAAAAATGAAGATGGAAAACATACTAAAATGGAAAGATGACTGTCTAATGTAGAAAATAACATATGCAACAGTTTAGCATTGATTTTTAGCATGCGTCAAGTACACTGAAATCGCTGAAAACTACTGCAGAAAGCCGTTACGCCGTTTCTAGTTTATATAACAATTCGAAATGCAGGCCTTACTCCTTACTCCTATTTATGATGCTGAATTTTGGCATCGATGGGCTGACTGAATGGTTAACTGCTTTTGCTTTTCGGTCTTTCGCGTCCTTTCACTATCTTCCACATACTTTTTCGTCCTTTTATGTATGTCCAAGCATGTCGTTTGCCAAATAACAGCACGAATGTTAGCAATGGCAGGAACAATATCGACTGAAATTATTTTTAAAATTGTTTAATTCAGAATTTATCTGACACGATCGACTTATCTGCTAATAGTATCATATCTGGTGTTTCACGCAGTGCTTTGATTGAATATGTTCTGGCTAATATAGTAGTAAACACTAATGTAACAAGCAGATGTATGTCTGAAGCAATTTATATAACTTAGAAATTCAGAAGCCACTACCCCTTTAATTTGCAAATCATTCGCAATAACCTCTACTCTGAGAGTCAAAATCCTGTGTATTACGCCAAATGCAGAAGCATCCAATTGTAATTAGCCATCTGGAGCTGAATCTCTCCTTTTTTCTCTTATTATGTAGAGAAAGGTCACAAAAAAAAGTCGGACACGCTTGATACGGATATTTGAAAAGATTGCCAACAATCATACGAGGAAAAATTGAAAGCACGGTATATAAATTTATAACCAGCATTTAGTACGCCAATGAAAATGGTTCACTTTCCTTTTGGCATCAATAACAAGAGATAGATACTCTCTACTACGTTTACCTGAACTCTGTTCTGTCGTAAAGACAATGCTGCTTGGATTTTGGGTTTCGAAAAAGGCTACACGAATTAAATGTTTTAGTCATTACGTAAAGAGAGTACCATGTACCATTTTATCTTTAAAACTTTTGGCCTTCCTGCACTGACAATCATTACTTAAACTAAGTTACCTTCAAAAACATTCTCTTCTTTTTCTCATAGAAGGGTTCTGCTGTCCAGCGCATAAATGTGCACACATCTTTCGCTTGCTGACTAGCAGTTGCTAGTGTACCATCTTTGTATTCAATACCACCATCGAACAGCTGCTGTGGCATACTAATGACACCATCAGGAAAATAGGGATTATAGTGCTTTCCTTCATCCAGCTAAAAATGAATTGTGACAATTCATAATTTAGATTTCTTAACACTTCTAGCTGAGATTTAGATTCCAAGTCCAATAATAAAAGTAATTCTGCTAGTTTAATAATAACCCAACAAGAAACACGATGACTGCAAGTAATAAAAATTTCCGCTAAATCAGTTTACATAACTTTCAGTAATGAAACTTCAATGGTTACTGAATTATTTCTGAAGAATCTTCCGAAAGCCAAACCTTCACACCAGCTGGTGTATCGACGTATGAAGTTAATAGTGAGAAAACATAATCTTCAGCACCTTCTCGCGTGAGCAATAACATTGAAAGATCAGGTGGAAAAGCACCACCATTTGCTGCTTTTGCTGCAGCAATATTCGGATAAGGTGATAGCAAATGATCATTTAGATCACCCTGTCGTTCAATTGCATTTCCTGAAATATGTTTGAGCCAACAATCCGGAATATTGAATTATCTGGATACAGATCTGAAATACTCCATAATCTGTACATGTGCATCTCTGCCGATCAAATTTAACTAAAGAAAATTTATGTTTAATGTACAGTCCCCAGAAAACCACAATATAAAAACGTCACATACCAGCTTCGTCAATATCAGGTACGGTAACAGCAGCAGCTTCTGCTTTTGCTTCCTCCTCGGTCATAATATTTCCAACTAAATGACGGTAAGCTATCCATTTCATAGAATGGCAAGCCTTACACACTTGCTTGTATACTTCATAACCACGACGTGCACTGTAAACGAAGTGTTTTATCAAGTGATGTCAATTTATAATCTCGAAAATTTTAATAAAATCAGGAAAAAATGTTTTTCGGAAAAATCTTCCGTAAGCCGTAAGTCCAAATTGTTATATACATAGAGTTCAGAAATTTTTATGCTTCTTAGGAAAACTTTCACATTTAAAAACTGGCCTAACTCATTACTTTTAGCTTTGGTTTCATTACATTAACCCAGTCTTCAGAACTGTGTTCTACTGAATGCTGTTGCAGGTACAGATATTCCAAACTCCAGTGAATTCAACTAACACTTTCCACTTAGTACTTAGAAAACTCGTAAATTAGATAAGGGTTAAGACAGATGAAATGCTGAAAGAAAACATACGAAGCCATATCAATTGTACCAAATACTCGCTTGTGATCCCATGGCAAAGATGCAGGATGTGGGAAATGTTCAAAAGCTTCCACTTTTATTGCATTTTCCAATGCATATAGTAAACCGGTACCAACTATCGATACAGTACCCGCTCCAACAGCTAAGGTACGCTTAAAAGGACACCAATTTTAATTGAATTGACTTATCATTATCTTTCACTAGGCATTCAGGACTTACTGAATAATACTGCTAAAATCGACAATTTGTTTTAAATTCAGAAAAGTATTTAGAAAAGTTCAATACATCAGAAAATAATGAAGAATTTTTATTCCCAAATATTCAGAAAAATGATTGACATAAAATTTTGCACTATTATGAATCCCTTCCTCGAATAGGTATCATTATGCCTTTTATTCATAAGCACTGCTGACTTATTACCAAAAGTATCACTCCTTGTCTGGAACAATATATGTCCCGGCAGCAATGCAACACATATCGGATATGACTGCAACCGGTTATTAGTAAGAAATATAAAAAATACGTCACAATACTACTTACGAAATCATTTTAGATTCATATAAACTTACCCGAAAACAACAGCCGAAAGTACTCCTATGCATCGACGTACTGTTCCTAAAAATAGTAAATTTGAGTCGCACGCAAGAGGTAGTTAACGAACCGACATACCCTAACAACTGATCCTGCCGAAAAGCCAATACTGAAATGCGACGTTCACCTTTTATTCCTCAACAAAATCTTTCTTTATAGTAAATAATTGAAATCACTGCCCTCACGACTTTTAGTTGCATTTTACTCTCAGAATCCAATTAGCAATTCAGAAAAAGTCTACTTGAAACAATTCTGAAATATCGATGAATATATTTTCATCAGCACACATCTCCTTCCTCTTACTTCATCATTTGCTAATATCATTATTCGTAGCTTTCTTCTTATCCTTAATACTATCATTACCTTAGAACGACTAAGTTTGTAGCCTAGAAATCGTACTCTGCTCCGAAATTTATTCTGCCGATTAACTTTTTCGTCTAATTGTCACTACTTGGCTCTTAAAACAGTACCTCGAAGTTACATCATACTTTTTTGCTATTTCTCAAATAACGTAATGTTTCCCAACACTTAAAAAATTAATAGGAACTTATGGATTTCCAAATGTTCCGTGAATTCTGATCAGACCAAGTAGATAAGAATGGAAACCTGTATTCTCAAACAAAACGGCAATGTGTATACAAAAACACTTTATGCATATCATTTGTTATTTTATGCAAGACCGATATCTGTTTGCGATATTATTATAAATATTTAGTAATTCCACCTTTTAAATTGACCATTATATTGCTTTAACTGCTTTCTTGTAGTAGCATCATCAGTGTAAGGATTCTACCCCCCATAACGAGTACAAAGATAATCTTAAACATGAAGGAGCACAGAAGTACGAAAGACACCTCGAACTATATGTTCTTCCTCGTGACACTGATACTGCTGATTCGAGGTACCTAGGTGAATGAATACCGCCCTTTTCTTATTATATTAGATTTCGCGACACTTAAGAAATACACGTATTTACTGCATTTGAAAAGAAATCAAAATCCGAACCGTGCCAGTAACACATGTGTCATTCGTTTAATATGCGACAGTGACATTTGTATATCTGAAATATATGAGCAAGTAAAGGGATCAAGCGATCAAAAAACAGGCATTATACGGATAAGCAGAAGTATATAATATCCAATAAATCAATTTCAGCCAAGTATCATGACGCCTATAACTTTTAACTTCATAGTATATCAATATATTTAACAACACGACAATTACCGGGAGAAAACCTGCACATAAGGTGGATCGTGGAATCTTAATTCTCAAAGTGACACCCAAATGGTTCTTGTGAGATTAGAAAAAAGGAAAAAATTTCAAAAAAAGTGCTAAACTTGGCCTCAGATTCCTTTCTAGCTCTTCCTACCAAAATTTTTGGAGCCGTAAAGAGTTACCCAACAGCAAAGTTATGTCAGAAAAATGCAAAAAAAAAATGCATACAAACTTGAGTGCTAATAAGACACTCCTAGTTAACCATGACCTTAAGGGAGAAAACTCCGCGGAATTAACAACTTTCATCAAAGTCATCCAGACGAAGCGACTAGAAACGTCGAAATTTCGCGACACCGCTATGAAAAGTTCTGATCTCACGTATGCAAAGGAATGCTGTAGATATGATGACAGGGTATTCAGTTTAGTGAGTGATAAAAGAAGTGAATCCTGATTTGTAGCCACAAGCCAGCAGTTTGGATCGGCTGATTTGAAATAGGAAAAGCATAGACTGGACCATAAAAAGTAGAATCACAATATGGGAATAACCCAGCACTCTCGTATTTCCTCAGTAATCGACTCTTTCATTATTTGTTTGCTAATCCTTTGTGTCTTCGTCAAAGGTATCTTCGTTAAAGTTATCGTCGTCAAAGGTATCTTCGTTAAAATTATCGTCGTTAAAGGTATCTTCATTAAAGGTATCTTCGTTAAAGATACTTTCGTTAAAGTACGGAGGATTAGCAAGTAAATAATGGACGAGTCGATTACTGTGGAAATATGGGGATGCTCGGTTATTCCCATATTGTGATTTTACTACTTATGACCTATGCTCTTCCTGTCTTAAATCAGCCGATTCGGATTGCTGGCTAGGCAGTTACAGACCAAGATTCACTTCATCTCTCATTGCCTAATTAGAAGTTAATAGTCTGATGTAATTGATTCATCACTTCTCACTCTCTACCACACATACACACTACTTTCATGAAAGATGGAAAGGTAGTTTGGTGGTCAGTTTCCCATTGGTATTGATTCATAATGGATGACCTCCATTGCGATCAGTTTCCCATCGGTATTGATTCATAATGGATGACCTCTATTGCGATGTAGGAAATCTCACATCGAGGGGTAATATCCACCAAAAACAGAGTGAAGAAACTTGACCACTGTTCAGATTGTTCTAATAGTACCGCTTCATTTAATAAATGGGAAGAAAAACAGATTAAAAATCTGACTTGCATTTTGAAATTAGCGTCATTTTTGTCAATAGTTGTAACTGATACTTTCTTACCATCTCGCTCTCCACGGTTATTTTCTGCAAAAAACTGATCCTGATATGGTATATACTAAAGTGAATGATTCTGGATGTTCTTTTCTTCAACAGTAATGGAGTGCAATGAAAATGTTGTTAAAGGAAGTTGAAAGAACTACGTCCAGCTAAGCTAATAGGAGGCCCAACTATTATTGGCCAGGAATTTATTATTCCAGTTTTGGGGATTTTAGAACCATTCCAAAAGCAAATTTGAATGTGATCACTATTATGAAATGCAATAAGAATTATGATCAAAAAGGGAAAATTAAGAGAAGAATAAGATTGTCACTGATTCATTTTTCCCAACCATTTTTGTTCATATATTAGTTTAAGTTCCTATCATTTCTAAATTTGAACTTTAAGATTAATAATTTAAATTTTATGATGCAATCTTCTCATTTTAATAGCAGTCGTTTTGATAGAAAATATGATCTACTTTTGATGGTCGCTGAAGTTCTGCAACAAACATTTGGGCTCATAGTCTCCTCTTGAAACAGAACAGGAAAAGCCTTCTCCTTTGAAACTTCCGGAATGCGAGGGAACAGAGACAATTTCAGATTTCGCTAATCCCATATGCAGTATGCACGTTTAATTGCTTGAATTTCAAAGAGACTTTAAATACCGATACACCAACAATGACACAGCTCTAGGGTGTCGTAAACGCGTTCGACCTTTGACCTTCCACCTTTCCTGGAGGAGCTTCCTTATCCGTTTCTGGTTCTCTTCGTTTTCTACGCTCTTTCTGTTATTGTTCCCATTGTTGCCATGACAACGGTGCGGATGCGTGCGCGTGCGCTCGTGCTGCGTCTTGGAATTGGGTAAGTTGGGTGAGATGTTTTCAGACTGAGTGTTACTGATATATTTGTTAGTGCTTGTGGGGCGCGTGGGAAAGCTTCAAATACTTTGATCTCTCGAAAATTATTGGTTAAATCCTGTTCCCATTTGTACTGTCTGTTAAAAAAAACGAAATCTTCAGAAGATCCAGCCATAGTACCCGTAGTAAGGGTGAGGGAGGTTTGAATTTCAAGAAATCTCCAAAAGCATGGGATAATTCCGAGGATTTTATAGTAGGTTCGATTCTTTTGGTAGAATAATTTACCCGTACTATTACACTATTTCAAAAAAATCGGCAAGTTGAGCACTAGGCTCTTTTCAAATTCCACGGTATTATCCCCACTAATCTGGTTAACGAATTTTTAACGGACAAGTCTTCCGTTTCTAACGTTTATCAGTTTATTTGCAGCTTTTTGACAAAGTTGATAGATTTGTTCCCTGCACTCATTCACGATTTCCCATTACCTTTTTCTTTTTATCTTCATTACTGGTAGCAAATGGCACATCCCTAAAATGGTACATCCCTAAACATTTTGCGATTTTCAATCGTAAATGATTCCATCATTTAAGAGAAATGCCTTCCGGATAATATTATTTCCTTCGAACTCATACCAACTTCCTTCATGTGAATTGACTTCCCGAAACATCTTAATTTACTAACTTGAAATCTTCTGCAGCGGACTAGAAATTGTCTCCTTACCTATCCTATGAAAATTTACCTTGTTCGGTATCCGTGTGCACTGATAACGGCAAATTTTTGAAATGATTTTGGGATTTGCCGCTCTTGTTTACCTGTCACTTAGTATTTACATAAGCCATCTATAGATGAAATTGTTCCCTTTGTAAGAAGTTGAGGGTGGTAAAAATGTGTTGGGTTATTCGCTGTTTTATATGCGATAGTTCAGTGGATCGTGATCAGGCATGGTTGTTTAAATATGTTTGTTATCAAAATATGTTGATAATCGATTTTTCGAGGACGAAATATTACAACTTGCAGGACTGCATCGAACTCATAAACAGTTGCTTTAAAAACCCCTTAGTTTAAGTTTCGATTCCATTTCAATCGTTAAATTCTCTTGAATAATATGATTAAGAAATAAGGATGGCATCATAATTCATGTAGCCACCAATAAAAAAGTAAAACGCTTAGCCAAAATGCACTCAAGCTTTGTTGAAACTGTAAACGTGTGACGGTCATTTATTCACTGAAAAATGTTTATAATCCTTTCGTTTTTTTTCTTTTTTTAATATTTCGCACACGGGGCCAAAGAGGAAGAGGTAATCAAACAACATAGATCTATTTCATTAATAATTTCGGTAAATGTTTCACCAAGAGTGATGTAATTAGAAGTCAGTCCATCGTGTATGTACATTTCCGTATACTTGGGAAAAATCAGGTGTGAAATTCGTAAAAATCAAGTGCTGGACTAATTTAAAGCTTTCTTCAAGGTGTGTCACGATTTTAATCATTTACAGTCGGATTTATCCACCAGAAGTTTCTTTCTATATCCACCAGAAGTTTCTTTCTATCTTTCCACTAAAATTTTTTGTTTAACCCAAAAAGAGAGAAAATGGGGAAGAGATCATTATAACAATTATTGGTATATTTGATATCTTGTTCATTCTATCGTAGTTTTGCTGCTAGGAAAACAGCATGACTTAATGAAGCAGAGTCTTTGTAAGTTGATCGAACCGAGATAGTTTTTGTCGTGAGCACGTTTCGGTAAGTTAAACCTATTATCCTTACAGCAAAATAGATAAACAGACTCTTCAGGGCTTACTTTTAGTTTGGAGTCACAGAAATTATGCAGTAATTTCCAATAATAACCCATTGGAATTAGACTTTTGGTCCCTGCATTTGAGTTTTTAGCGGGATACGGTATTTGCAAGTTTAAAATTTAAAAAATAATTCAGAACTTCGAAAATTTTATTCTTTCTATGGTTTGTCCTCGTGAAATTTTCAGCATTCACTGGATAAATTTATAATCGTCCCAGAAATTCTGTTGCTTATCTTGACGGATGGGTCATCATGGAGTATCAAAGTAATTGAAAGTTAATTATTTGTTGCTTTTGCTCCTTTTCCCTGCTCATTTCAAAACTTGACGTTTATAAATGGATAATCTCTTTGCTGGTGTGTATTACTATAGCTACCAATGCCGCATATTGTAGTTTATAGAATTGCATTTTAATGTTTAATTGATATGGTGATGACCGAATAATGTGATGCTGTTTTGCTGTTGCTATTTGATGATTACGGTGATGTAAACCACATAAAATTGAAGATCTGATGGAAAATGAAAAGTAGATGACTTAATATTTTAAAAATGCCGCATGCTGCCATGAATGTCTGTAGATGTGTAGAGTTTTTAGAATAGGAAAGCAGGATTAGACATGTAAAGTACTCTTAATTTTCTGTTTTCTCTTAATTTTTTTGCACGCTAATTTTCTGCGTAATTTTTTGGAAAACGGCAAAAAAAAGGCTTGAGAAACGGAGAGAAATCTGTTGTTGAGGACTGGAGCCGCTTTCTTTGACGTGTTAACAGTTTTGGTGAGGAATGAGCTTAGCTTATGTTGAGACTTATATCGTCGTGATTTGAATATTGGATATCAACATTGGCAACATTGGACATCATTTGTTCATTGGCTTTACCTCAGTTGTTATATGAGGAATAGACTTGTAATGTCTGTCGATTTAAACAAAAGTCAGTAATTAAAATGTTTTTACTCTCTGTATTTGAGATATATGCATTGCAACTCACTGTTAATGAACTGATTTACATCGAGAAATAACCAGCTGTAGGTCTCGTTGATCCGCGGTATGGCTTTGAAATTGTGAATGGTAACGTAATTCATGGATGAAGAGAAACTGTTTCATGATCAAAAATTCCTGTCTATGAATTGCTGAGTGAGATGGAGCATAGTTGTAAATAAAGAAAAAGCATGTCACTATGAGACACATCTGCTGGGGAGGAGGGATGAATATACTTTTATCCGAATACTTATTGATGATATTCTCCTTCCAAATACATAATTTTCCGGAGCCTTTCCTCAGGGATTCATCCTTTTCCTTTCTTTCTCTAACTTTCCATATACATTTTGACATAATACTCCACATATACTGCTATTTTCCATGCATTGTCAAATGTCTCAATTTTGAACACTGTCACCTTAACAAGAAAAAGAAGCACTGTGGTACTGAAGTTAAAGAAACGTTCCTTTTCATAACTAACGTGAAACTTTTACTTTATTTATTTAATCTCACTTTTCCAAATCCCGTATTCATCGCTGCATCACATATTGGCATTTAAAGTTAGGGTTTCAATCATGTTCATCTAATGATGGATAACAAACCATATAACTGCATATGCATCAAAAAAAAATATCAAACGATACCCTAACGGGTTACATTCTGATAATTATTTTACTGTTGGTCAAATCACTGCTTCATGAAAAGAATTCATAGTGCACTGAATTTTTACTTATCCGATATATATTTGCACATGGAGATCTGTTTTTCAGAGTGTACCTGTTCGCAATTATGAGTGTACCGAATGTTTGTCAGCGAGTGTTTGTAATGTGAGTTATGTATATCTGTCCAAATATGTCTGCGTTTGTGGTACTGAGTAAACAAAATTGTTTCGTTTCGATCGTGTCATTTCCCTCTATGTAAGGTAGGCGTAGCTTTCTCTATATAGACACGAAGATCTTTCTTTTTGTATGTGCACTGTAGTCGGGGTCAATCGTTAAATGGCAAGATGAGGGCACTCCTTTGCTGACCACTGTTCGATATGGCTACTTCATACCTTCTCATCGTTGATTTCATCATTATGTACTCTGTAGGTCATTACATCAACAACATTGGTTATATTAAGCTTCGGAAGCATTAGGTATTTGGCATCCGTTAAAATATCTTCTAGAAAATCTGTGGGGAATATCGCGAGAGATGGTACAGTGTTTCCATATTTAGGAATAATTCGCTGTAAGTCGAAGTATTGATGAATCGTGGGAAACAAGTACATTTTTTTACATTTCTGAATTCGGTTATTTCTGGTTAACTGTGCAGTTTAATTTCTCATCCTGAAAAGGTCAGAGGATTGTCCTCTTCATTCTGCTATCCATTCTTTCTTTTCTAAAGAAGAGTTGAAACTGGATCGGAAAGTAATTCGCCCGATTTTATTTTATCCATCACATTTTATAGATATTGATTCGTTTTGGTTTTTAGTTTTCGGATTCTTTACCCTGGTTTCAATATATTTGCAACTTTCAACTAGTTACTTGGTCATTTTCCAAATCACTGCATTTTATTTTCTGATTGTTTTCCTTGGTGTTCTAGATTCTTAGTCTGGAAATATTCAGCCCATAAAAGAAACAGCCGCACAAATCGCATACATCCATTATCAGCCCACAAGTATTTTATATTTCTTCTGTTGTCAAAAATTAATTGGAGGTTTCCCACTGGTAATATAAGCAAATTTGTGGACAGAAATTGCAAATTGTCAACAGCTCAAGATCAGATTGTATGACACCTGCTAAGCCATAATACGGATTCTCAAATGTCATAAAAACCACTCGATTTTAATATCTTCGTTTTTTTTTCTTTTTTTTATCTTTGATTTAAGACTCAGATTTCAGGTAGTTGTAAAGCGAAGGGAAGTTCTAGATATTTCCCAATGAAGAAGTTGTTCAGTAAAAAATTTCTTTCACTGCTGTTAGTCATTTTTATTATATAACAGATCACAACAAATATGGAAATGCATCTACCAGAATTTTCAGTATCCTGAAAGATGTTTTGCATGTTGGTAAGCTGCAACAAATGAAGTATGGATTAAAGATTTTTCGACCATTTGTTTTAGATATGTTTTCCGATTTGTTAGGGGACATTTCAGCATACAAAATTCTTCAAAAAGGAACATAGAAATTTCCCTTTCTGAACCGAACCTAACGAAACAGTGTATTCCATTATCTAGTAGCTGTGAGCTGCATGATTTGATATGACCTTTAGCTTATTAGCTCCCTGAATTGGACCTCTCAGTTCTGGTCATTGTTTTTTATAGGTAGTCCTAAGAGTGAATTCGAGTAGCACAAATATTGGGATTACATACATCAAGTGAAGGAAAAATACCGCATGTTTCATCTCTTTATAAAGTTTCTTAACAATTCTTTGAAGATTCCCATTACTGCTTATTTTGAGACTCATTAAAGGGCTAAAAGTTGCAAGTGAGGTTAAGGAATCGATTACTGGTTTTCTCAGATATACTGACAAAACGATTTACTGTGCTCTACCTTGGTTTTGAAGCCATCGTCTTAATTTTCAGTAAGAAATTTCTCAAGTTTTTATTTCTCACCATTTGTTATATTTCGTGACTGATGTGTGTTTGATAGAAAGATGTAATTTTAGATAGGTGTAATCTGCTGCTACCTGATTTGATGTTACATTATTCCATCATACTGAATAACAGTAGAAAGATGATGCGCATTAATGAGAGGAATTAATGGGCTGCAACCATGTGCCCATCACGTGGTTCATTTTGAAAGTGTTGACATGCATTCTAGGCTCTAGGATCTCCTTGACTAATGGAAGGATTGGCTTCCGTCTTTATAATTTTACATTTTTTGTGTTGATTGAATTGTATATGAACTGAGAACAAAAATGAGAGGTCAAGCTTAAAAATAAATCATTTTGGAAAAATAATTAAGAACTTTCTGAACCATGTCAGACAACGGACTAGCAGTTTCTAAAACTAAATCTTATCTTTTATAGTATTCGATTGTTGACGCTCAAAAAAATTTTTATTCTCATCTATGTGATCACTGATTGTAGTTGATTGGGGGTTGATCAGTTTAGAAAGACATGTTGACCAAACCCGTCGAACAGTTTTAAAATGACCGCTCCATTATCCTCGTAAGGTGAAGTGCTGCTTGTACAGGTCTATCCACGTATATATATATATATATATATATATATATATATATATATATATATATATATATATATATATATATATAGTATATATATA